CGAAATCGAGGGAAGATACAAAGGGTTGGAAATCTTGGAGCGTTAATTCGTTTTCGATCTTTATTATTAACGTTTATACGAGATATGCATACACCACGACAATGGTGAACGCGACCACGAACGCGATAAAAGTTAAACGAATTACCTCCTCCTGGAGGGAGGAGGGTACGCTTCTCTCTCTTCCATCCACGATTCTTCCCTCCCCTCGCTTCTTCCATCCATTTTCCTTCCGCTCGGTGGTTATACACGCGCGGTGGTATAAGCACGTTGCCCCCGTCGTGTACTTTTTGCGATACATTAAGCCATATATCTTATGGGATATAGTGGGAGGAGCAGAGAGGCGTACGGTGGTGGCGTATGGCGCGATGGCTTCTAACGATATTGGAGGGAAGACACGCGAATGACGTTAAGGGACGACGTCGAACGAACCGATCGAGTGACCGAGCTTCTTCGTTCTCCTCCTCTCCCTTTCCTTCGATTCTTCGCTCGAAGGAAGTCCAACAGTCGCATCCGATCGAATTTCCGTTTCGAACGCGTAGACGGAGACGGAGGAGGGGGAGGATGCACGCGATATTCCCGTTTATACGTGCCACGCATACGTATACGCAGCGAATTGCCGGAATCGCGAGCGGGTCTTGGAATTTGAAAGGAAGGACTCGAAGAGCGAATAAATTTGGCGTTAATTCGCGATTCGAAAAAAAGCGGGGGGATCGAGAGGCGGAGGAAGTGGTGGCGGCAATTTTATGGAAACGCGTGCGGGGAGGGGGGCGAGGGAAGCGCGGATATATGCATAACGCGTGCACCTACACGATACCGGCGTGTATGCAAGCCAGCTTTCCTGCATCTAATGTATACTTTTCACGTCGCGGCAAACTGCACCGGCCGCCGTCGTAAAGATAGTGGGGCAAGTGCGCGCCGGTATTACGTGACGTGCCGTTCGATAATGATACCGCCATCGCGATAAAAACAAAGTGAACGTATACGAAAGCGTGTACGGTATATATACGCGTATACCTTCGCGTAACGTCTACTTACCGCACCTATCGGGGGAAAGCAATGATGATACGTCGTGCGTTAGAGAAACGAGCTCGAAAGTTGCTCGTCACCCGCCCCCTTCGTTTGCGCCCCTATCGCCAATTATTACTCGCGAATCCTTTTCTTCTTCTTCTCATCCTCTCTCGTATCTCTCGTATCTCGATCGGATCGATAAGAGTTGCGGCAAGGATATTTTATTCGGACACGTTCGCCTCTCGACTCGAGGCTCTATCGAGAGTGGATACGCGTGGCAATGGTCGGGGACGAGAGTCGCGGAGCAGGTGCGCGGTCACGGGAAAACGAGATGGATGCCCTGGATGTTCCCGTATCGCGTGACCACTCGATCAACGCTACCGTCCGGTTGACACTGACTTACGCACTCCGCCGCTCGACCAGATATGACACGCACCGCCGAGTCTCGTATCCTCCGACCCGTCGTGGATCGCCGCCTTTCTCTCTTTTTTTTCTTCCTTTTCCTCGACG